AAATTTCAAATCAAATTTTAATTGTATATAAATTAAATGATTTTTTTCGTTAATATTTCGCAGATAAAATCCGAGAGTACCAACTTGAATAAAGATTAATATTTTCTAAGCTTGTAACTTAGTTGGTCCAAGTTTTTCATTCAACGTCCAATATGAAAATGTTGAGATGTATAATAAAAGAGACTAAGAAAAGTACACGAAACAAAATGTAACATTCTATAGAACCCATTGAAACACATTTGAATTCAGGCGACGTAATATAAACAATAAGAATTTATTTTAGATAAATTTGCAATGTTAAGCCCATTCTACAACTACAATCACTTACAACTATGCTTATGCAATTGTATGAATGGACTTCATTTTCGTCCAATATTTTTATCCTTGATCTCCCTTATATTGCCAACTAAATTTTTATCATTTAATTTTTAATTAAAAAATCGACCAAGAAATACTCGAAGCAAATAAGCAAAAATCTTTCAGTCAAAGTTGGTTTTGGTGTCTAATAATATCGCCAATTAAATTTTTATCAATATTAGATAAAAATCGATCGAGGAATACTTAAACAAAAAAGATCATATTTGATTAAAATTATTCTTGGTTCCTAATAATATTTTTATGTATTAATAATGTTTAAATTTTTATAGAAAGTGACTTTGGAGAACATCTGATTGTAGAACGCCCCGTATACGAGTGAGCACTGAAATGATGATTCTTCGATCCAAGCAATGGCCGGACGCTATTGTCATGCTATCGCAGGTGGAACGTCGATTCTGTCACAGTCGCGTGGAAAAGTAGACGTGGATAGAAAAAAGTGGTTTACACGACGATTCACGGTGATTCACGGTGATTTGCTAAAAAGAGGATGTCCACGCTCTCCTCTTTCAAGCCGCCTGCAAATCGCGCACGTTGACAGTATCTACGGAATTTAAGCGTTTCCGCGTGCTTTACGAATCTTATTACATTATCCCATGTTGTGCAAAATGCCTCAACGTCACAACACCAGCTACCATTGTTCAGCTGTAATAATATGCACAACAATGCAGTAACGCGAATGTGTCGCGCGAAAATCTCGGATCTATTCGCTAAAGAGATTGCTTCCGTCTCTATATCCGCTAATGGAATTCTTTCCGCGAAAGGTAGGGAAAAAAATGAATGGACGATGGTAGAATGCCGCCAGCGTAAAAATTCAGTAACGTAAAACACAACGACGGCTATTCTCAGGCAGCAACAACATTCCGTAAACCGCGTAAAAATATAGCGTCCATATCGAATACTATGCCCGGTATCTGAGAAAAGAAAAACTAACGCAAAATGGTTG